TTTTATCACATGCAGACCAAATGCTTCAGCTACATAATCAGCAATAAAAGAATGCGTGGCACCAGAATCAAACAAAACACTAAGCATTTCATCATGAATAGAAATCATACCTCGCACCAAACTAGCTGACCTCTCAGCCTCTTGCTGAGTCACTGCATATACTCGGGCAACTGGAGGTAGGAGAGGTAGAGATGGTTCCTCAACCACAATAGGAGCCGGAGTGGCCTGAATAGTAGAAACTTGTCCCCCATTAAAGGGGCAGTCCCTAATAAAATGCCCAGGTTGGCCACATTTGTAACACAATCTTTGCTCTTTTCTGCAAACCCCAGCATGAACTTTACCACATGTAGCACATAGAGAAGCAGGCTTAAAAATTCCAGGCTTAGAATTTCCCGCCTTTTGAACTTACCATCAGACTGTCTAACCTGCAACCCTTTTCCTTTAGAATTCCCAGAAGTGTTTTTAGGACCAGAATTAGGAGCAGATTGGTCCTTATGCTTCCTTCTGTAATATTCTTGAATATTTTTACACTTTTTAACAAGTGCAGCAAAAGTATCAAATGAGTCACCTGCAAGTTTTTCAGAGATGTTATCATGTAATCCTCTATGAAATTTAAAAATCAAGTCATCCTCTGTAGGTGGAGCTCTCTGGAAATGAGAGTATTTGGCCAGCTTATTGAACTTATTCAAGTATTCATCAATAGACATCTGACCCTGCTTTAGTTCTTCAAATTCACCCTTCTTCCTTATCCGGGCTTCAGCCGGAAAGTATTTCAGCAAGAATTGCCTTTCAAATAAAGGCCAGGTAATAGCATAACCCTGACATTCCAAGGGCAGACGGGTATTTCTCCACCAATCAGCTGCATCATTCTGCAACATATAAGAAGCGTACAACAATTTCTGCTGATCATCACACTCCATGACAGTAAAAATGCGATCCAATTCTTCTAACCACTGAATTGCAGCAATAGGATCAATGCCTCCTTTATAATTTGGTGGTGCATGTTTTCGGAAGGCATTTAGCATTCTTTCTCTTTGCTCTCTATTAGTGGCTGGCTGTGCCACACCACCCCTGTGACTAGATTCTTCATTCACATCATTATTTCCTTCACCCTCCACAACAATGGGATTATGAGGAGGAGGAACAGGCTGTTGTGGTTGTGGCTCAGGCGGTGGCTGTTGCAAAGGCTGTGGCTGTGGACCTTGCCCACCCGCCCTCACCTCAACCAAGAGTAATCTCATCATTTCAATATTCGCCATTCTGCTTGCTGCCATCATTTCTTGATTGGCCAACCTATTAGCCTCTAACAGATCTTGATTTGCTTTCATCATCACTTCTAGCTCTCGCTGCCTAGCTGCAGCAATATTTTGTTGCATCTCAGTTAAGGCCATTATCATTGGATCTGGCTGTGAAGTATTTCCCCGCGGGTTAAGTCGGGGTCTTGCCAAATCTGCCAATATTGGATCGGTCGGGTCAATAGGAGGATCAGAAGTCCTTCTTGGGCGAACCATAATTCTGCATATTTCACACAAAGGAATGAGTTAGCTACGCTCACACTCGGTGATCAGACATGCATATCATAGTATTCCAAGAAAAACTCAAGAACATAACAACCCGAACAGTTCATGCAATATTTCACAGGCTCTCCTAGAGAAACTGCTCTGATACCATAAATGTAACATCCCCGTCTCGAGCCGGTTCAATTAACATACATATGATACAAACAGAAACAGTGGAAGACTTAACTTACAAAAATATGAGCTACTTTTTCTTTTTCTAGCTTAATTATTACTCGGCGTAAACGAAAATCGGGCAGAGTTTCCTCTATAAATCGGACAACTGAGGATTTTCCAATCCCACTCAGAAGCATTTCCTGATAAGCAGTTTATACAACATATCAATTCAGAAATACCAGATATCCAAATATAATCAAATACCCATACATGGGCGCATGCATAACATGGCTCCGTGCCACTAAATCTAACAGCATGCCATCAAAACATAAACCTATCTGAATACTACATCATCATATAACGTTCCTGAATACTCAAATGTACATGCATCAAACTGATAGACATGTACAAAACATATACAGGCCATATACAAAATAAAGGATCAATATCATGATCCATCAAATGCGAAAATACTAAAATCCATCAAACACTCCAAAAAGGTAGTAGCCTACAGCCACTCAAAATCCGGTCTGTCAACTGCCTCAGCCACGTGTCGTGTCCCTGCCTAGTGAGGACTCACCGGAAATCTGGGCCCCTGAAAATATGTCCCCAAAGAGGGGTGAGATTACAAATCTCAATAAGCTCCAGGTTTATAGAGAATTCTCCATACCCCTGGCTCACTCCTGCATGAAATTCAGATACAGAGTATACAAATACAACATATAACAGATATCATAACAGAACAGAGCATATATCCATATCATATCAGAGATGTGCGCCGTCATTCCCAAGGGAGGACCCCAAGCGGAAATCAACGCACGTGTTCCCGAGGGAGGACCCCAAAGCGGAACCAGACATATCAGAGGAGTACACCATCAGTCCCGAGGGAGGACCCCAAAGCGGACGTCCGGGTACTATACAATCAATGGCCAGAGATTGTTACAGAAATCATATTACAGAAGTCATATCAGAGCAAAACATATCATGTTATCAAATAACTCTATATGAATGCATCTATACAAAGCATCTAAATCACAGTCATACAGTCCAACCATAGTTCACTAACCATGGTGGAGCACTCAAGCAGGAAAAGACTCCTTAAACATAGAGCTTACCTCTTGAAGCTTTACCAATACCCTTACTTGTTGCACAAGTTACTTATATATCTTCAAGAGATTCTGATTCCTTTTAGTCCCTAGGTACACCTAGAGCAAGAATCCACAAATACCAATTAATAAAATGCCATCATGCCTAGCTTTCACATAAGGCACACATTTTATCGCTTCTTTTCATTTCTTTGCATTTTTGCCAATCCTATGCCAATACACAAGTCTAGACCTCTTTATAACCGTTGGTGTTCTTTAATTTAATCATCCATTCCCTTACGAATTTCCAACATAAATCATAACATTTTACTTTAAAGGACCGTGAGCCTAAAATTAGGAAATCAATATATTTTTCCATGATTTCTTTTCAAACCATTTCACTTCATGCCTTATCATTTTCATACTTTGAAACACACATATTTTATTAAAATAAAATATGACAACATCTTTCCCTAAACACCCTATATGTCGAATCCTTTAAGGGAATTTCCAAGGATCATTCTCTTTTACAATACATTTTCCTCACTTAATTTAACAACTACACGTACATAAATATATATATATATACCAAGTTCCAATTTAATTTTTGGGAATCTCAAGCTCTTTAAATCCTTCAAGGACGAAACATCAAGGGTATGTTTCAAAGGATTTTCTTTCAAATTTAACATTCTTACTAACTCATCAAATTTCCTCTTATTCAAGCACATTAAACCTTCCCAATACATACAATAAATCTTTGTGCATCATCCCTAATTACCCTATCAAGGCCGAAATCTAGGGTATGTCACCATGGGATTTTTTTTCCAATTTTTTATACATGTTCATATGCTTATTCCACATTCCTATATCCAACACATCATCAATCCATCATCAATTCAAATTTTAAACTAATTTATTTCACACCAACATATGTTCACAATTTCTATGACACAAACCATCAAAATAAAATCATGGAAACAAAGGTTTCTTACCACTAATCAACTTCCCAAAGCCTAGAAAGCAACCTCCAAGCCAAGCTCCATCAAAAACTCACTTTTTCTCCTCCAATGAATAGTAACTCGAAAATGAGAGGAGGAATAACTCTTCACACACTCAACTATAGCTCAAATGGATAGGAGGAATGGATTCATTGAGTGGTTTCCAATCAATTTCATGTGGTGGGTCATTGGATTTGGTGGCATATTCAAGAAGAAATCAAGAAAAGAAATAAAGCCCTAAACCCCCCCTTCCATGATGAACTCCACGGCTTGCAAGAGAGAGAAAGGAGTTTTAGTTGTGTGAATAGTGATTCACTTGAATGACAAAGCTTTATAGCCACATGTGACTTTTTAACAGATGTTTTTCTTTCGCGTATTTTCACTTAAACTGACCCGGAACTAACTCAATGCTACAAACATATTTTTATTTTTCTAAAATCATTTATATTAATTTTTTTAATTCTTACAAACAATATTCATAATTCACAGTATGATTTTTGCACCGTTTTTGACGAAATGCACTGTGAATCACTAATTGTACTTCATTTACTTATGAAACTTAAACTTATAAACTTATCATTTTCTTGGGCCTATATTGACTTGCTTGGCATATATTGGACTTTCTTATTCTTATTTCATCAATTATTTGTTTCTGGGCTCTACCGGTTGCTTAAACAGCAGTACAAAATACCCGGTAAAAACACTATTCACGAGATTTTCACGGAAAGTGCCAGACTATACAATTTTTTGTTCTGAACTCATATTTGTCGTCAGAATTATCAAATTATGTTCCTAAAATTATTTTGCTCATTTAAGCTCTACCCGTTAATTCACAAAACTGTAAATTCTTCGGCAGAACGCACTGTTCATAACATAGTCATGATTACAGTCAAAAATACTCGAAATCGCTCACTGAATCTAATTATGGCATTTAAATCCTTAAATTAAATCTCTAACTAAGATTTACCAGTTAGGGTCATTATACATGGACCCTGTTTGAAAAGCATGCTGATGTAAACAGTAATGCAACTCCAAGTTTGCTGGCTACGGGACGTGAAATTGTAAAAGAATGCAACGGGTTACCAGTTGCAATAGCAGCTATCGCTAGCAGTTTAAGGGGTCAACAAAGTAAGGAAGAGTGGGATGCAGCCTTAATATCCATGCGAGAGCCTATGCCAATGGACGGTGTGGATGAAGATTTGGTCAAATTTTATAAATCTTTGAGGTTTAGCTATGATAGAATGGCGAGTGAAAAAGCCAAGAGATTGTTCCTCTTATGTTCGATGTTCCTAGAAGATAAAGAACTTTCTATTGAAATTTTAACCAAACTTGGCATAGGAGCGGGCCTTTTTGGGGAAATTGATGGAAAATACAATGATGCTCGAAGCCAAGTAGTTGTAGCCAAAAATAAACTCATAGATTCTTGTTTATTGTTGAAGGCTGATGAAGGACGTGTGAAAATGCATGACTTTGTTCGTGAAGTGGCCCAATGGATAGATAACAACAAGATTCAAACAGTGAATCTATCTAAGGAAGGTCAAAAGCCACGGGTTGAAGAGGATATAAAATATTTACTCTTGAAGGGCAGAGACAAGGATTTGTTTTCATGTAGTTTTGATCGTTCCAAACTTCAGATTCTAATTGTCCACTGGGATAGAGGCATGGATGGAGATGACTTAATGGATGTCCCAAATTCATTCTTCCAAAATATGACAGAGCTTCGAGTCTTGCGTTTATCATCCAAGCCATGGGGAATAGGGCGTCTATCATTGCCAGAGTCATTCGAGTCATTGAATATTCGATCTCTTATTTTTAAAAGATTGAGAATAAGTGACATCTCTATTCTGGGAAAACTACAAAACCTTGAGGCTCTTGATTTGGTTTATTGTGAAGTGGTCGAATTGCCACGTGAAATTGCGGAGTTGGAGAAACTTAGATTGCTAAACTTGGATCAGTGTGAAATTGAAAGGAATAATGCATTTGAAGTGATTGAAAGATGCAAATCTTTAGAAGAATTGTATTTCAATGAATTCAAGATTGATAACACAACAGTTCATAAGAAAATAACCTTGCCTTCATTGCAAAGGTATGATATAAGAGATGAGTATGATTACGAAACATACAATTCAATGTCAAAATATGTGTGTGTTTCAAATATTGATACTTATTTCTGTGAAGCAACATTCAAGTATTTGGCGAAAACATCAGAGGTTCTTAAGCTAGAGGGATTTGAGGGGGGGTGGAGTAATCTCATACCTGAGATTGTTGACGAAGGTATGAAAGATCTAGTGAAGCTTTGTTTGCAATCTTGGTCAAAATTACAGTGTCTAATAGACACTAGTCATATTAATTCTCCGGAACGGAACTTCTTCTCCAAGTTGGCTGTACTTGAACTTGATAAGATGGAAAATTTGAAAGAACTATGCAATGGTCCCTTTCCCTCTGACTTTCTGAAGAATTTAGAGACACTAAGTATCAAAGAATGTCAAGGTTTGCGAAGCATATTGTTTAAGAGCAAGCTAAACCTCTCCAATCTTAAGTTCATCCGACTGAAGGATTGCCCGAAGTTGGTAACCCTATTTCAACTGTCGACTTCTCAAAGCCTAGTGCATTTGGAGGAATTGTGTATACGCAACTGTCGGCAGCTGGAAAACATAATAGCAGATGAAAGAGCAGGGGAGGAATTGAGAGAAGAAATAGTTGATGGCGATCAAGATGAGAAGAGAAGAAAGAGTCGCTGCTCAATGTTTCCAAATTTGAAAGCTCTTTATATAGATGATTGTCCCCGATTGGAATTTATACTTCTGGTCCTTTTTGCTCAAGACCTTCCTCTACTGAAAACTGTCTCTATAAAAGACTGTGGTGAGCTGAAATACATATTTGGAAAATACCAACATGAAAATGAAGAGATGGATTTGCATCAAGAGGTAAAAGATGTCGTACTTCGTTCCCTAGACAAACTGCTGCTCTATCGCTTGCCGAATTTCATTGACATTTTTCCAGAATGTGATCATCCCAAGTTTTCGTCCGTGAAGAGGTCATCTTCCAAGTCAGAAATGCAATTGGAGCCCATGAAATGCAATATCTTCCCGTGGACTCATAAATATAGACACAAATGGAGGAGTTCCACAAGTGCTCAAATCCCATCGCATCACTGCTCAGCCTCATCGGTAACCCTCTCAGCTTCTTGTGGTATCTTTTGTTACTTTCTCCTTTTGATAGATAGCAGGTACCTTGTATTTATAGTCGACGAGCATATTAAACATCCCAACTTTTAATATTACCATTAATACAATAGCAAATCACCAATAACTAAGAAGTAATTAGAATACACTACTAGTATTGTGTATGTGATTGTTATATTTCTTTCGGTATCAATAGTTTTGGAAGTTGAATACTATTCTAATTGTTTAAAAGCTTTGATTCATTGCATTTAATGTGAACCAATCTTTAGGATTTGTATTATAGAAAAATAATTTAAGTCTTTTGCTCACTAAGAAATTGGCTGGTTTGATTTAAGTTCTTTTTTGTTGGGATTACGTTACAGGCATCGAACTCATACCGTCCTCAGCTTTGGGAACGTGCTCAGTGTCTTTCAAAACAATCACAGATCCTTTGTAACATGAAAGAGATTGAACTAGACAATCTTCCAAGGATAAAATCCGTATTTATCCTTTCTATTGCTCCAACAATGATGTTGGAAACTTTGGTAGTTCAACATTGTGGTGAATTGAAGCACATAATAATAGACAATGGAGATGACAGCTGTAGCAAAGACTGGGGCAATGTCTTTCCAAAATTAAGAAAGCTCGAAGTGCGTAATTGTGAGCAATTGGAATATATATTTGGGCTGTACCCTGAGGATCAACAAAACCATAATGAGATTCACCTTCATCTTCCAGCATTGAAATATCTCTATCTTTTCAATCTGCAAAGTTTAATCAGCATTAGCCCTAAAAATTATCGTACATCGTCGCCACCATTGACTAAGATTAAACTTCATGAATGTTCCCAGTTTACCATTAAATGTATTGGTGATTTGATGGTTCAAATGGATTCAAGACAACCGGATGCCACAACCACCAAGGTTTAGAGTTACAATATAAAAATGTTGTTATCATACTTCTCGTTGCTAATTTATTTCATCTCTAAATATCATTTTGAAATTATTAGCGGGATTCTAATTTTATTTATCTGATTATTTTGTGTTTATTTATTGTAGGACTTGACTGGGAACCTGCAGCAGCATTTCCTCACTTTGGAATATTTGGAGGTAGGCAGGTCCCAAGAAGAAAATATTTTTTGTCTCAATGAAATAAATGGACAACCAATGAACTTACGGTTACAAAAGATTAATTTGCTTGATATGCCTCAAATGACGTGTCTTTTTGTGGGTTTCAAAAATTCTGTTAGCCTCCAAAACCTTAAAAGGTTAAAAATTGAGCGATGCGAAAAATTGGAAGTAATCTTTTCTGCTTCTATTTCAAGATGCCTATCTCAATTGCAATATCTAGAGATAACAGAATGCGAAGACTTGAAGGAAATCCTTGAAGAGGATGTCGAGAATCGAAATGTGTCAAATTTTCTCTCTCCAAAGACATTCTTTCCAAAGCTATCAATACTTGTGGTAAGAAAATGCAACAAGTTGAAATATGTCTTCCCTATTTCCACATATAAAGTGTTTACCAAGCAAGAAAGCGTGAAAATAAAAGAAGCATATGAGATAGAGGAAGTATTGGAATATGAACAAGGTGACGGCAAAGTTGAGCTTCCAAATCTAACAGCAGTTGTGGTAGAAAAATGCAACAAGTTGAAATGTGTCTTCCCCGTTTCCACATACAAAGTGTTTCCCAAGCTAAAAAGTGTGATAATAAAAGAAGCATCTGAGCTAGAGGAAGTATTCGAATGTAAACAAGGGGATAACAAAGTTGAGCTTCCAAATCTAACATCAGTAGTGGTAGAAAAATGCAACAAGTTGAAACGTGTCTTCCCTGCTTTCACATATAAAGTGTTTCCCTGGCTAAAAAGTGTGATAATTGCAGAAGCATCTGAGCTAGAGGAAGTATTTGACTGTAAACAAGGTGATCACAAAGTTGAGCTTCCAAATCTGAAATTTGCAGTATTTGTCAAACTACCAAGCCTCTGCGGGGGGATTGAATTTCAGACTGTAACAAGTCTTTTCGTACATAATTGTCCAAAGCTCTCTTTGACTTCGACAACAACTATCGACAAGGTTCAGACGCTTGTTGAAAATTCTGATATAGGTACACTTTATACACTGTATTTTTTATTTTATTTTTTTAAAAAGCTTGACATGCTCGTTCTACATAATTAAATTGCTTGGAATCAAAAAATATAATTCAAAATTTGATATTTCTGTCATGGTAACTTCTTCCAAATGTGAACCCCGGAGTATTTACAAATAGAAGCTCTATTATATGAAAGATAAAATTATGCAATAATTTTAATTATTAGGTTAAGATAGATAAATAATTTTATACCTTTACTACTTCAAAAAAATATAAAAAATCTTATTGTCATAGTTGCTGGCTGAAGGAGTATTTAATCTATAATACTTTATTGTAGAATTTGGCGATTGGTTTGTCTGGCGTGAGGCAAAAGACATGGTTGCTAAAATGAGGGAAGACATCCACAAGGTTGGTGAACTTGATGAAGAAGACTCTAATAACAAAGATACCATCAATCAAAATCAAATTGCAGAAATCACTGAAGAAGTTCCAGGTGGGCCTGATGTTCAAGCAGCATCCGGGCGTGAGTTGATTTCTTCACATGTCAATACGGATCAACAAGAAGATGATATTGAACCAAATGAGTTCATTTCTATGGAGACAAAAACCAAACAATCACTTGAGGAAGAACATGAAATTGTTGAAAAAATTTCTGGTTTAGAAATATCATCAATAGCAATTTCAGCAACAATTTCAGAACTAATTAGAAGGCCATGTCCAAGTCCATTGGATATCCCTCTACATGAAGCACATTCACATGTGAGTCCACTTCAATGTCTTCTTCAAGGAAACTAATGATGGTTTATGACTAATACTTATGTGCTCTTTACAGGAGTTGGTGGCTGACCAAAACATGGTAGAACCATGTTTGATGAACCAACAACACCCACTTGGAGAAACTGATATTACCTTAAAAGCTCTTCAGGGAAATAATGTAATATCACCTGACCATGTACATCATGCCAAAAAGCATATATGAATAGTACTTTCATATACTTCTTAGAAATATATTACAACTTAATTTCATTTTTATGCTATACAGTGTCCCAAAGAAATAGAGGATCAAAGCATTCAAAAGGGTTCTGTGTCAGAGAAAACTGTAACAGCAACTCTGTCCACTGATTCAGAAAAAAGGAGCACATCACTAGGACCATTATTTGCTCCTCCAGAGAAGGCATTCCCCTGATATGCCGATTATGTTTTTCAATGGAAGTATCTTCCACACTTAAATATCATTTTTGATTTTGTGCAGAGTTTTAAGAGCAGTGTTAAAGATGGAATTACGCCAATGGATACAAAGACAATAACATCGTCAACTATCACAGAATCAGTTTATTCATCATCAGGCCCTTTATTTACTTCTGAGCAATATCCACAGGTAAGTTTATTGTCTAATATATTCCTCTGCTTAAAAGTAATAGTGTCATCTTTCTGATTCATTGATTTCCGGGGGATTGAAAATCAATGAATCAGAAATTGAATTGCTGAACACTTGAAAAAGAGCCAAAATTTTATGAATAAGTCATTTTAACAACCATAATTTAGCTGCTAATGCTTACTCTCGTATCCAAAGTTGTTTAGTAAGTGTTGAGGCTTAAAACTAATTCTTTGGTTTTCTTATTCTTTTCTTCCTATTCTTCCCAAAGTGAAATCAGACTCATCCAAACTGAAATATATACTGACAAATACTGTGAGGTTAACCCTATATTTAAAGACTTGGGAGAGATGATACAATTTGTTTGTTTGAATCTATGTAGGAACACGGCGATAGCCAAATAGACGTGCCTTCTTTATCAGGTGTCACTACCACCAAGGATGTTGATGTCAGAGACTCTCAGGAAACTTCTCACTTGGTGGTTGCCCTTACTAAGACTCATGCTCCAGGTAAAGACTTTTACATCTGTTTTTTTTCTTTTGTTACCACGCACATCACACTATATTCTCAAATTTCTAACAAAGCATTTAGAGATAAACATATATGCAGTTTCTCTTCAAGAATTAAAGAAAGTTATTTGTTAATATTAGATACTATAAGGTTATTCATCTATCTTTATCATCCGTTTTGTATATAAAAATAAAAATAATGGAAAAGCATTTGTGTTTAAAGTTATCTCTTGCGACGCCACGGAATTCGTTTTGGGATTTATAAAAATAAAAATACATGAAATTTGGAGAAAATTCATATTATTGTAAATTATCAACATTTTCAAAATATTGTTCACATTTTCTTTTTCCAAAATCCAAAATGATATCGTTTTGGATTAGATAAAATAATTTTATTTTCTCACAAAATTAACACTAAACTCATGAACAATCTAGTTTACATAATGAAAGCTCTAAGATTAGGGATGAAAGTGAGCTGGGCTGGACCGATCTTTGCCCCAAAAAGCCCAAGCCTACGTCAAAAAATTTCAATTTGGCCCGGCCCAAGCCTAGTATGAGTCTAACTGTTATCCTGGTTTGGCCCGTTTATGAAAAAAAAAACAAATGGCCGGGCTTGGCCTGTTAGCCTGATAATTTTTAACTTCCAAACAGAACCATGAATCAATTTTACAAAGTACTCAAATTCTGTTGCTACACCAAAAATCATAATTTCAACGTCCAAACAGAATCATGAATCATAACAAAACTAATACAGTGTGCATTTAAGTCATTTTCAAAAGCAAAATGCTCTAATTAAATAACATATATTTCATCAGATCCAACAAACAAATCCATACTATGTAAATTAAAATAATTACATATATGAATCCAACAAACATATCATGATGCTTGTAGTATGTATAACCTCTGCCAATTTTTTTTTAATATATTCATATACACAATCTAACATGTTGAGATGTTGGTTCCTCCTATATAAGAAATAAAGTAAGATTTCTATTAAAATATAATCGAATATGATTAAGTTATAAATAATTGCAATTGATTAAATTTATATTTTTTTTTTCTTCAAGGCATACTTACTCTATTTTATTTTATTTTATTTAAAATAAATAGTACAATATTGGCCGGCCTGTAGGCTTATAGGCTCGGCCTTTTGAAAGTGGACCTACAGCCTTTTTATTAAACAAGCTCTTTTAAGGTTCGAGCCCGGCCTATTATACAAAATATACTAGGTCAGATCTAGCCTGATGTAGACCGAGCCGTAAGTCCCTGTAGGCCGACCCGGCCCAATTTCACCCCTATCTAAGATCATATAAAACATAACACTTTGCACAGATTTAATTATTAAGTAAAGACATATAGATAATTTTATACCTTTAAACCTAAAAATTATGATTTCCAATCGAAAGTATAAATTTGTACTTATATTTCTTTATTTCTTTTTTACATTCTTACGATTTACTGGCTAAAGGAGTTATTGCAGAAGTTGGAATGGATAACTTTTCCAAGGAAGCGCTACGACAGTCGATTCTTGAAGTTCTAAGAGACTATAATATCCAAAATCCAACTTCAGAAATCATTGAAGACGTTCCAGTTAGTCCTGATGATATTCAAGCACAATCGGAACGTGAGTTGACTTCTTCATGTGCATTAGAGGCCGAGCAAGAAATTGTTGAAAAAGTTACTAGTTTAGAGATACCATCAATAGCAATTTCATCAACAGATTCAGAACTAATTAGAAGGTCACGTCCAAGTGCCTCGAATATCCCTCTACATGAAGCACATTCACATGTAAGTCTACTATAAGGTCTCCTTATTATTATTGCAGGAAACTAAGTGCTCATGTCTGATAATACTTTTGCACTCACTATAGGAGTTGGTGGATGAACAATCAGTGGGAGAACCATGTTTGATGAACCAACAACAGCCACTTGGAGAAACTGATGTTACCTTTAAAACTCTTCAGGGAAATAATGCCATACCACTTGACCATGTACATAATGCCAAAAAACATATCGTTAAATGAATATGAATAGTACTTCTTAGAAATATATTGCAATTTTTTAACATTTTTATACAATACAGTTTCTCAAAGAAACGGAGGATCAAAGCATTCAAAAGGATTCTATGTCAAAGAAAACTGTTACAGCAACTATGTCCACTGATTCAGAAACAAGGAGCACTTCACTAGGACCATTACTTGCTCCTCTAGAGAAGGCATTCCACTATTATGCTTATTATCTTTTTCAATGGAAGTATATGTTAAACTTAAATATTGTTTTTGATTTTGTGCAGAGTTTTAAGAGAAGTGTTGAAGATGGAATTACATCTGCGTATGCCAAGACAATTACATTGCAAACTCATTCTAAATCAGTTAGTTCTGAGCTTAAAACATATTCTCTGGTAAGTTTACTGGATGCAATCAGGCTTTCAAATATGTTCCTCTGCTTCAAAGTAATGCTTGAATCAATTTTCATTGAACAAGAAGAAATTGAGTTGCTGAACACTTCTACAAACCAGCTATAATTTTATCAATATCATAATTTAGTATGTACTGCTTAAACTTATATTGAAATTTAAGAGAGAGAGGAGGAGGGGCACTGATTTTATTTATTTATTTTTGGTAAAATTAACACTAGTTCTTTTGTTTTCTTATTCTTTTCTTCTTGTTCTTCCCATAGTAAAATCAAATTCATCCAAACTGAAACATATACTAATGATTACTGTAAGGCTGACCCTATATATTTAAAGAGTTCGGAGATGATAATATCATTTGTTTATTTGAATTTGTGTAGGAAGATGGCCATGACCAAATAGCCAAACCTTCTTTTTCAAGTGTCACTACAGAGACTGCTACCATCAAAGATGTTTATGTCAGAAACTTCCAGGAAACTTCTGAGTTTGTGGTTGCACCTACCGAGACTCATGCTCTTGGTAAAAACTCTTGCATCTTTTTTTTTTTTTTTTTAGTACATTGCATCTTTTTTCTATCCCATATTTTGTTGAGTTTCTCTAACGATGATGAATTGGGAGTTTCAGCACCTAAGCTCTCTCCTAGCATCCCTTTTATTGCATCCCAATCTCTTTCAGTCCCATTTGAAGTTATTTTCTACCCATTTTATTTTTATTTTTTCAATGCTCACAATGTTTAATTAATGCTTCCTTCAATATCAGGGAACTCTTCTGGGACCACGGAGGATTTAGATTTTGTTTCTCTTGTCACAAGGGAGCTTGAGCGACTGGTCTCCAAGAAGCTATTGGCTTCAGAGAACTTGCATTTGTTGATTGATTTTCTAGTGAAGCATCCTTCCGTTTATTTAAGCAATTCACTTAGTGACAGATACAACGGTTTTGCATATAACTGTCTGGCTGAGCTACTGAAATTCCTCCAAACTCATAGTGTGTTGGATGTGTTAGGATCAAGCCGTTCTTATTTTGTAGAGCTATTACAAGATATGCGCATATTTGGTTTTGATAAAGATTGGTTGGATGACGTTGAGAGACATGCCTTGTTCCCAGCTGGTTTACAAGTCTCTCAAGATGCATTGAAAGAATTATTGGAATCAAAGCGTAGTTTGACTCAACATGTGGAGGATCTTAAACATCAATTGTTGGAGAGTATTGCTCAACAGGAGGCACAAGTTTTAGAAGCCTGGGCTGCTCTGAGCTCCCCACTTGGCTATTAGGGGCATTCGATAGAGGAGATATGTTTTTTATCAGATAAATGCAATTACCAGTAATATGATAAGAAAATGAGTTTGGTAGGAAAGTTAAAAAAAAATAAAAAAAACTGTTTGGTTGGCTAAATTTTTACCAGGTAAATTGGGTTAAATATTGTGAGTCTTTATTTGATTGAAGGTAAAATAATGATAGGTAAATGTGTTGAAATACCGAAAACAATCCCTAATTTAATTTTTTTAATATGTAGACATGTGTACTTGACCGATGGTAATATAATAAAGTGTTCGTTCACCTTCTTGGGTTGCCTAACCTTTTCTAGGAATACCACACTTGAATTGGTTAAATTGCACAGTGATTTTCCTTTCATTTTTCACATGCTTGTTAAAGGATGGGGAAAAGAGAAGCATGGCACAATTTTTGGATTCTATCTACCAAACAAAGGAATCATTGAATGCCAATTATATTTGGATGGGGAACCAAATCAAAAGCCTCAACCAAACACATCCTTAGACTGTTTTTTCTCGTGTTTCTATATTATTATATTTTCTACGGGGATTGTGTTCTTTGAATACTTTCAATGGGTGGTTTCTTCATTTCTCATATGAAATGAACCAAATCATCTTATTTTATTTGTGTATTTTAAAATAGTATCATATTTGCTGAAATATTTTTTTTTCTATTACTAAATAAATTTTTTTTTAAAAAATAGTCAATCATGTTGATTTTTTTTTTTTGTACTTTTTATATTTATCATAATATTACGTGTTTATTTTAACTTTCAAGGTGATCTGAAAATGTGTATATTTGCGATTGCCATAATAAACATTTGAATGACATCTTCAGTTCTTAAGGAATAATAAATAAACTCTTAACTGCAGATATAGGAATATGGTATATTTTAACCAAATTTTTCTTTTTTTATTCACCAAGTTAAACATGTAATAGGTAATTAAAATTTTCGCAGCAATTAGAGGGCATCCCCCTTTTTTGTTGTTGGATAATTAGAGGACATCCCTTTGCTCTCACATGTACGGATGAATTCAAAAAAACGTGTCCCTTTTCTGACTAGGATACACTGCCTTGAAGCGAAATGCCCGGTGTCCGACTTAAAGGTCTGTTTGGATGAATTTTTTTTTTCTTTAAAAGTTGTTTTTTTTTCAAGAAAAAAAACACTTCTTAATTTTAGTTCGTTTGGATGTCTGCTTTTAAAAAAATCAGAAGTCACAAAAAAAGCTAAAAACCTACTTTTTCCAGAAGCTGAAAATTTTAACTTCTAAGAAAAGCAAAAGTCAAAAGTCAAATATTTTTTTTCAAAAAGTAAATATTTTTATAAAAGTATAAATAACTTTAACTTTTATAAAAAACACTTTTAAATTTAAAGAAGAGATAAAAGTTATTTTGTCGAGAAGTCCAAACAATATGTGTCCCTTGGTAACTGCAACTTCAACAGCAATAATGCGATGTAACAAAACAATTTTGTTATGGGAATTATGTTTTGTTCATGAACAAGGACTCTATAATAGCGTAACCTAATTAATTAGCAAATTGCATGTAATTAAATAATTAAACATGTTTTAATGAGTAAAATTAAGTATAAGGCTTAATTAAATGAATCTGAGTCACTTTGAAGTTAAAAAGTGTACTCAGTGAAAATTAAGGGGTATAAATGGGTACTGGCGAAAGTGCCCAAAATATAAAAATAAAATTGTAAATATTCCTAGAATAATATTCCAGACTTTTGGGTAAAGTTTGGTAATTAATGGAGTTGAATAGATAGACGAACCAATACCCGCCTAAAGTCACTTAACCTATGTTAAGTGACTAAAGAACAAAAAGAACCCCAAACCCCCCCGAAACCCGTCGAGCCAGAAAAGAAGAAGGAGGAGAAGGAGGAGAAAGGGAGAGAGAAGAAGAGAGAGAGAAACCCTAGGGAGAGCAATCCTCCACCGATTGGAGTGATTCAAAAACCTAAATCACTCTAAATCTTTCCTTCATCACTAATCCTAGCTTGGTTCTTGGTGGGGAGTGTTATGTTGTGAGATATCATCCCCCAAAATTTCGACCCATTGATGATTGGGTGTCATGGAGGAGTCCATTGCTTGAAGTGATGCTTGGAACCTCTTCCTTGGGTGTTTTCTAGGTGAGTTCATGTCTTGATGCAATTCCTTCCATGAGTTTTATGGTGATGGCTATGTTAGGGTTTCATTGAGGAAGATGTATGCATGGTGGGGTAAATTAGAGCTTGATTGAAGTTAAGTTCCTTTGTAAATGTTGCTAGTGATGATAAATAAACAGTAGAAATGCGTTTAGATGGTCATTTAGTTGTTGTTCCATGTATTAGAAAATTTATGCTTGAAGTATTGATTTTCTAGTAGTGTAAGACATGGTTTGGTTGGTTGGGTATTGATTGTGCCTTGTTGTGTTAGGATTGAGGCATTTGGACCAACCTTGAGAGACCAACCATTGGAGCAAGCTATGGAGCTTGATTAGCTCCATTGGATAGGTGAGTTCATGCTTATGTTTGGTATGAATTGTATAGCTTGGTTGATAGCTATGAGATGTTATTGGATGCAATATGTGTTAATTGCATTAAACCTTGTGTAGGTTTTGTTTGAGAAGTGAAGTATTGTAATTGACTGACTGTGGAACCTGTTGGTGGTGAACAAAGGGTGACTGAAGCATTGAGGTAAGCCTTCGGACCTTGGGTGTAATTCCCTTGACTGTTCCACCAAGCCCTGAAGAGTAGAGGTTGTGATTGTGTATATAAATGCAATAAAATAGTGTAATGCTTTGTTATACGTATGTGTATGCATTTGGTGTGGCATAGGATGGTGTTTCCCTATGTTGGTATGTTGCATGACGATGCGTAAATCATACTTGGTAGTTAGCTAGCCAGTAGGACTATTTGCATCTGAGTTTCCTTAGAACAGCTTGAGAGCTCGAGGGATTTCTCCTGGAGATGTTATTGCACTTTGCATAGATATGTATTTACTGCATTGTTATTGTTATTGCTATTACACTGATATGGAACTGTGGGGTGGAGAGATGCTCCAAGGACCCCTGGTTTACTGGATATATTCGTATATCTCACCCCGTGTTGTGGGGACCCCCTTTCAGGTAAGGATGCTGCAGGAGCCACCAGTGGCAAGTGGCCATATCTGGATTAGCATATGCATGAAGTGTTGCAATTTTTGAGATTATACATGTTGTTTTGTAGCTCACATGTATAGAATTGTAATTAATAGGCAATGATAGATTTATGATTTGTATATTGGAATGGACTTAGCCTATGCTCATGCCTTTGGTCATCTCTTTTGTTGATGGGAGCCAAGGGAATGATCATAGTGTTTTGTAAGCTAAGTTCCATGATTTGTAATGAATATGTACTGTAAATGATGCCTACTTGAAATTCAATATATGCATGCTTTTATGTATTGAGTTATTGAATTGGTTGGGCTGAGAAATCATATTAGGTACCTAGTTCTAAATTGGGAATTGTTGAGAAAACAAGGGTTATGCTGCCCAAATTTTAGTACAAGCCATGAGGAAAAGGGCATGCATGTCCCTTTAGATGTGTTTGTATTATGCAAGAACTAAGAACCAATTATGGAGAGGAATTTATATGATAGATTTGGACCGTGGTGTATGTATGAAAGTTGTAGATATTTTTCTTAGCTTTCCATAGAGACCAATATTGTGTGAATTGGACAAGTACAACTCTAGTTAGAGGTAAAATACTAAGAAGTGGTGAAACCTTCAGAGCTTTGGCGCACCTGGCGCCAAACTTGGCGCACCGCGCGCCATAGTGCTTGGAAGCTTCTGTTTCGTAGCGCAAATCGCGCCGGCTGTAACATCCCCGTCTCGAGCCGGTTCAATTAACATACATATGATACAAACAGAAACAGCGGAAGACTTAACTTACAAAAATATGAGCTAACTTTTTCTTTTTCTAACTTAATTCTTACTCGGCGTAAACGAAAATCGGGCAGAGTTTCCTCTATAACTCGGACAACTGGGGATTTTCCAATCCCACTCAGAAGCATTTCCTGATAAACAGTTTATACAACATATCAATTCAGAAATACCAGATATCCAAATATAATCAAATACCCATACATGGGCGCATGCATAACATGGCTCCGTGCCACTAAATCTAACAGCATGCCATCAAAACATAAACCTATCTGAATACTACATCATCATATAACGTTCCTGAATACTCAAATGTACATGCATCAAACTGATAGACATGTACAAAACATATACAGGCCATATACAAAATAAAGGATCAATATCATGATCCATCAAATGCGAAAATACTAAAATACATCAAACACTCCAAAAAGGTAGTAGCCTACAGCCACTCAAAATCCGGTCTGTCAACTGCCTCAGCCACGTGTCGTGTCCCTGCCTAGTGAGGACTCACCGGAAATCTGGGCCCCTGAAAATGTGTCCCCAAAGAGGGGTGAGATTACAAATCTCAATAAGCTCCAGGTTTATAGAGAATTCTCCATACCCCTGGCTCACTCCTGCATGAAATTCAGATACAGAGTATACAAATACAACATATAACAGATATCATAACAGAACAGAGCA